AGTGATTGAAGTAAGCATTAAAGACAGGGTTTATGAACAAAACATACTAACAAACATTTTATCAATCATTCAATAGTTTGTATAGGAGTGATTGAATTAAGCATTAAGGACAAGATCTATGAACAAAACATACTAACAAATGTTTTATCAATTATTCAATAGTTTGTATAGAAGTGATTGAAGTAAGCATTAAAGACAGGGTTTATGAACAAAACATACTAACAAACATTTTATCAATCATTCAATAGTGTATAGAGTGATCGAAGTAAGCGTTAAGGACAAGATATATGAACAAAACATACCAACAAACGTTTTATCAATTATTCAATAGTTTGTATAGGAGTGATTGAAGTAAGTTTTAAGGACAAGATCTATGAAGTTTACAAAATATTCTAATGAACGTTTTATTAATTATTCAATAGTTTATACAGCAGAATCAATTGTTTTTATCATTTTTAAATATCCTTCTTTATTTACAACATTAAAAGGTAATGAATCAATGACCAATCATTCAGCTGTAATTTTTTTCAATTGTTTTTGTCTGGATAGATTATATGGAATACAAAATATAATAAAAACATAAATGCATTGCTCGTGATGCAAAAAAGGAACGTTTTTCTGAGATAATAAATGATACAATTAATGACATAACTAAAATATAAATATATTGTTCATGATACAAAAAAGAAACACTTTTTTCTGATATAATAAATGATACTGTATGTTGTCATTATTTATTATTATTTATGATAAGAAACTGGGAGTTTATTGTGCCTTGGAGTTAGATTGATGCAAGAATTTAGTGAATCAAAAGAGTAATTAAAAAATCTATATATTTTATTATGAATTTCACAAAAAGAAAAATTATTATAGTATATATACACAATATAGAGGTTATGTTGAATTGGTGAGTATTATTGGTATCCATTTCCAAATAAGAGATGATTACATGAATTTACAATCTGAAGAGGTAAATAAAAATGATAATGGTGACAATGGCAATGATGATGATGATGATGACAATGATGATGGTTGGAAATCATTAATGAACATACATAATTAATACTTGTATATATGTGTAAGTATGTATATAGTATGCCAATAACAAAGGGTTTTTGTGAAGATTTAACTGAAGGAATGTTTTCTTTTCCAATCATACATTCATTTCATAAAGATCCTAACTACAGACAATTATTCAGTATCCTTTTTAAATAAAATTAAAAAGAATTATTTCTTAACTCCACAAAACTAATAATGATATATTAAAGCAACATACAATGCCAATTGAGTTAAAACATCGTGCCACTAAACTAATGAAAGATACAGATTCGTTTGAGTACACAAAGGATTATCTGGTAAAAACTGAAAAAAAGGCAAAAGATGAAATTGGAAATAAATAAAAAAAACAAAGCTTTTATTTCTTTAAAAAAAGCATTTCACTGATAATACCTAATAATAATAAGAATCTTTATTTAAAAAAATTTTGTTTTTATTTAAAATGCAATTTGAAAAAGCCCTTGATGATTCATTATTATCCAATACATTATATAGCTAATCAAAGTAATATGATAAAATTTTAAATAATATTTCATTTGGTAAATAAACTATTGATCGTTTGGTGACCAATGTTATATTCCCATCATTATTTTTATATCCATCATGTGGTAGATTTTCTAATTCCACCGGCTCAATTTTTAAGATTACCATAGTTTCTTCAAATTTTTTGGTTGATATTGTTTGTGATTTTAAAATATAAATATTGTTGAATATATAGAATCGTTCAAATCTCAATATTCTCTTTAAATTATTAAAAAAGAGAGTTTCGGTTTTTTTGAAATTACCTGCCAGAAGTAAGTCAATACTAATATTTTTTTTAAGTTTTTTTTTGTTTTCCACTACCGAGTCACAACTATATTAATATATATATATTATTTGTATATTTTTTAGAATGATGACAAGTTGCAAGTGATAATAACTACCACCACTTTTTTAAGAACTACTAATAATAACACTTACTTGTTTGCTTCACCAAGGTAACTTTCTTTTGTTCTTTTTCTTTTTTTATTACTTAAACTAGAGTAATAACAAGTGGTGGGTGATAACTACCACCACCATCCTTAAACACTTACCCAGAAATTTCACCAAGAGTGGTTTGTCTGCTTCTTTTATTTTTTTTGTCATCAAACAACATTTTTTTTTTAAAGAAGTTTGTGTGATTGATCGACATGTACACATTAATTATTTAATCCTATTGGTTTTTTTTTCTGGTAGGACAGATGCAAATTGTTTTTTTTTTTTTTTTGGAAAAACAACAATTTATTTTTTGACAGAGTCCAAGGTGACAAAACGTGAGTGTTGTTTGTTTGGTTTGGGTCTCCTAAAGAAGACGTTTTAATAACTAACCAGAGGTACTTGTTTTTACTTGTATTGATATTTTTGGTTATTATAAATTTCATAAGTAATCCTTTCTTTTCTTAGATAAGTTTCAAGTGTTTGAGTATCATTTATTTTGAAAATATATGGAGCAATTTTCTCACCTTGTTCTTTCTTTAAAATACTTCTAATGGTGGTATAATTCTTGGGTTCCATAGTAGATCTGATGTAAATGAGTTTCATATTAACTATTTTTATATAGGAGTAGTACTATATATCACTTAAAATAACAAATGGGATATTAATTATGATCACATTACAAATGACTAAATTTTGATCTCTGAAATCCTTGGTAATACCAATGTTCACTTTGTCTGGTTTTGTTGCAGTATGCCCCATTTAAAGAAAGTATCTGAACACAATTCCCTTTTTTTTTTAATTAAGCAACAGGGTATAATATCTTCACCAGTTATAAAATTATACATGCAGCCCAAAGTATTTTGACTATACATGAAGTTGAAACTATTTTGACCATTTGCAGATCTGGTCGAAATAAGGTCGAAACTGATTTTTACTATGCAGTTGCCTCAAGTTGAAACATTTCGACTTTGGGGTTTTAATTTTGACTTCATGTATAATTTTGACACTGTCATAAGGGGGTATTTCACTTATGTTTTTAATAGTTAGTGCCATAATTAATTTCTATTTTCTACCATCAAAATTGACCAAACCAATTTTGGTTGCATGTATAATTATAATCTAAATGTTATAGGTATAAATGGGTGTTTAAATTAACCAGATAATTTAAACAATTAAGTTTGTAATGTTCAAAATATAAATTTGACTGTGCCATACACAAATTGATTATTTTTGTGAAAATCTGCAGATAATTTCTAAACCATGTTAATATTAGACATATCATAAAACAGTTTAGGCGCCCATCCATAGTTATAGGATAGTATTACAAATTTGGTCAAAGGACCTCAGAAGTGGTTTTAGTCCCATTTCTATTTTTAATATTCAGACCCCAAAATAAAATTACGTCATATTTGCCACGTCCCTTACTGGTGGTAGTACAATATGGTTTTAAATCCTGTGACATAGAGAGTTTTTATATTTATATATAAATATTAATTTATTATTATAATTAGCTGTTAATAATAAGGATGTTAGCCGAAATGGTTTTTGAAAAAAATCAATTTCGGCAAGCAATTTCGGTTTTACAATAAAATATTCTT